CAAATAGACACCCAGAGCTTATTTACAGTGTGCCAGTACTCCTCCCCTCTATTAGCTACCTTTGAATAGCCTCCTATCAGAACAACACTCGCTGCAGTTAAAGATAGCCATAAATCACATGGACTAATACACTGATTTAACAGGAAAAGAACACAGAACAATGGAAATCATGGTGGATTCCGAAAACAAATCTGTATCAGGAAAGGACCGAATCTGTCAATAATAGAACTGCTCAACCACAATCACACTTGCTTACCAGAAAAGGCTGAAACAAGTCACTAGATACCAGAATCTTTACTGCTAATGCAGATAGCAAAAGCACTCTACTCTGGACTACAAAATATATAGCAAACCCATTACACAGACAGGGACACATTTTCTTCCTTTTCTTCATCTTCTATTTAACATCAAATTAGATCTCACATTAGAAGATACCTGGAGAAGGTTAGACATGGATTTTTTTTTAACTCAGAAGGAGGAAGACACACAGGAATTTTCCCACAGTATTCACTCAAGGAATCGTTACATTCTTCCAAGATATAAGCAAAGCTGAAGGAGCAAAGCAGCCATGGTTACACCCAGCACATCAACTTAATCCAAATCATCTAATGTTTAAACCTTACTAGGAAAAGAAGGTAATTCCCAAATTTTCCACTCAGCATTTTAATTGAAAATAACCAGAATTAAGCTAACAAGAATCAAGGGCAGCAAAATTTAAGACAAGAACATATCTTTTTTATCATCCCTGTTTCTCATTAGCTTCCTCTTTTTCCCAGTGATGACAAGCTGGCAAACAGAAAGGAAATACATAACCCACCCCACATTCTTCCAATTCAAGTAAGTAAAAAAAAAAAATCAAGCTTTTATTGGAAGGCTGCATGAAGGCACAAATGAGCTTGATTACAGACATAGTGTAACAATTACAAATATATGTAAACACCTCAAGAGATACAACAGAACAATAACACAACTAAAACAGGAATAAAGTGTAACCAACTTAAAGAAAAGAACTTCTCAGGCACTGAATTCTTTCAGTGAATAGCTCTCATCCACACCATCATAAGTATAATGCTTTTAAGTCATTACTTGTATTCATGCCCAACAAATTGGCACTTTTCCTATTATTTTTAACCAGTGGCTTTATAAATTTGATCCAAATTTGAACAGGTTTTGTTCAAGAGCATCAAGAAAATTCAGCAATAATCAACTAAACACCCAGCCAACCTAAAGTGAGGCTTCAAAGACTCCTTAAGTACACAATTGAAATCACCAAGGAACTTAAAGTTTTAAAAAGCACATGGATGTTTGTTCCCTTTTTACTTGCATTTGAGGAAAGTGCTGTATTTCTGCAGGAAAGGAACTGGCTACATCTCTCAGGTGATCTTTTTCTTCCTCCAAAGGAGGCTTAGCTCTCATCTGAAACACCTGTCAAAACAAAAGTTAGCAATCACAAACTAAAGTGCCTTGGACAGCTCAGGCATTACCACAAGCATAAAACATCTTAGTTTATAGTTACAGCATTAATTTATATAGTGAGAAAACAGCTGTGAGAGTAGAAAACTATTTCCAGTATTTCTGTGGAAAGGACAATTGTTCTTTTCTTACTAAATACTATTGCCAGAGATTTAAGTAACAACTACAACACACTATTTTCTGAAAGGAAACCACTAAATATTTTAGTACAGGCAACTCCTAGGCTGAGCAAGAGAGTTCTAAGCAGTAATGTATTATGCAGACACAGTTTTCTCCAACTCAACCCTCAACCACCTGTCCTAATCCCCCCAGATCTATCTCACCTACAGGAAGGAATTTACTTTGTAGTCCAGGTCCAGTGAGGAATGACTTCTCTCTGGAGAGGACACGCAGGACAAAGCCTAGCATAGCTCTGCCATTCCTCTGGACACCTTGTCCGCATGATTGCAGCATAGAGATGAGGTAGCACATTCCTTTGGAGTCCAAATAGTTCGACAAACCAAGCATTGCTCTCCCTAATATAGTAGCTGTCTCTATAGTAGCTGCAGTGTCAAACCTCCAGATTTCTCTTTTTTCAGGGCACACTACTAATGGGGGAGCACCTGCATGAAAGTAGAAAACACAACCTCAGCACAGACAGTCATTTGAGTTACAACTGAATCGCACAGACCACAATGTGGCATTTTCAGTGGCTTCCTTTGGTCCACAAAGCAGTAATGGCTCTTAACCTCTATTTATAACAAGAGGAGTAGCTATTAACCAAGAGGAACATGAAGGATATCCTGAGTATTCATGATAATGCAATGTGCAAGTCAAAATATTGAAAGATTAGGAACTCCAGTCCAAATCCTAAAAGGGCTGGAAAAAATATTCAACTTCTCTGGGAACTGATAAGACTTGCTCATTTGGTAGTTGAGAACTCTGTTTTCTCTCTTCTTTTTAAGGGGAAAATTCTTCCACTAAGGAGGTTTTTGTAACAAAGGCCTATATTGTAATTCTGTATCTTACACTCATGGGCAGTACAATTTCCTATGAGATGTCTTGAACATGGGAGAGATGCTCTGCAAAGTGATGCTCTGTAGACTCCCAAGGAACAAAAATAAACTGTCATGACTGAAACAGAAAGGAAGCATTAAAAAGTGTTGAACAGTGTTATAACTTAAAACCCCTTACAAGGCTAAGCATTAAAGCACTACCAGACTTGAACAAGGTTGTTGGAAGAACCCTCTTAGTAAGCAATAATCTACATGGAGCAAAAGAGATTGTGTTCTTTGGTTGGCAAAATATTTGCAATTCTTTAATTTGTCTTGGTCATTTTCTATTTAACAAAATACCTAGAGTTTAAATAATCTCCGGTCAACACTGTAACTCACACAGATTCTAGGAAGTCCAGTCACATTTTCTTTGCTTCCAGGACTATATTTTTCATTCAGCTGAAGTCCAAAGAAATTTCATCCCAGCAGATGGATTCCTGACAAGGAACATTTGGACAGGAAAGTGAATCTTTTTCTATTGAGCTGCAGTAAAGCAAGACTGCTAACAGAAGCATTGCTACTTTCCTGGAAAACTGTGATAGTCCTTTCTGCCCTTGAGAACCTGCACTCAGAGGAGCAGATGCAATTAAACAATCTTATCTAGCTGTTAGTTGGAAGACTATGTCCAAAAAGTCCAACTGCTGCCTCCATATGCATTTCATTTCTCAGAGCCACCAGCATGAAATCAGCAACTTCTCTGAAAACCTCATGGATAAGAAACTGATAGTGCTCCACAGAGCACTGCATCCCAATGTTCGAATCAGGTTCCTTAAGAGAAAAAAATAAAAGAAAGCTGCTTGACTGCCAGAGGAAAGTGTTGCTGAAACAGCTAGGAGCATGGGGTTGCTTGTATTGTTTTCAAACCTTCAACTGTCCCAAAGTAGTACACACACACACAAATGCTCATTACTACTAGAAATTGTCTTATTGTAACCTTAATTGTAGCCTTATGCAAGTAGTGATGACACTATGTGTAACTGACAGACATTAAGAATGAACACGATAGAAGGAACCCACCCAGACACCATAAAACCACGTACTTAGAGCACTGGTGATAAACTGTACCTCATTGTCAAGAGAATTCTTCCAGTCTATGTGAGATTCTGTTAAGAACATAGATGCAGAATCATAATTCAAGACTATAATTCACAAGCAAAACTGAAAATCCATTTATATTTATTAGGAGATGGTTGTGCACAATTCCTTATCTTATTCAAAAAGTCTACAAATAGAGTAACACTTCTGTTCGCACACAAATGTTTGTTCAATGTTCTTAGTTTGGTAAGGCCAATTTAGTGCCTTGTTACATTTTCAGGATTTAATACACATTTGTCATTTCTTTACTTTCATCTGGTAACAGTCCCACTGCAATAGTAAGGAGAGTTCAGTAAGACACTTTATAACAGCAGCTGAACTTAGGTTACAGAACTTCAATTTTGGAATATGCTTCAGATGTAGATTTATCTAGGCAATTTTCCATTTTAAGATTCTAAAGCAGCACTATCAAAGGCTTCTTCCCCCCCATCCCCAGCATATATACTACTATGAGCTCACACACTCTATGGAGCCTGTTGTCTAAGAATCTTAAAGCACTTCAGAAAGGAGGGCACCATTTTAAATAGTGGTATACTTGAGCTGGAATCCTACCTTTAAAATAATATTTCTTTGTCTTATGTTTACAAAAGGACAGCAACAAATTAAATAACTGATCCTATCTTGACCTTAGCCCCACCGAGAACATCAGTTTTGACTGCCTGTGATTTTCTCATACGCAATCCTACCGCTGATTCGGGAACTCTGTTTAATTAAAATGCTCACAGATGAGTTTCTCTACAGAAAAGTGAGCACCTGCTATGGTTGATCGTTTCCAGATGGAAGCACAGGTCAAATTTTAGGCCTGCCACAATCTTGAGATTATCACTTTATTGGAGAGTCACTACCACAACTAATGTAATGCACTTGATCCCATATTGGTTTAACAAGTGGAGTAGACTATATATGCATTTCTCTAAAGCTCTCAGAGCTGAAACTACATAACTACAGTGAAGAAATTCTATTTTTGCCTTACTTAAGCTGAACCTCTTACAACATTATTTTAACTTACTATTTTGAATTAGAGCACTGATTTTATACAGATTTTCAGTCTGCAATTCTTACTGAATATTTGAGCGGCAAACATGAAAAGGTATGTACAAGTGTTAGTATACTACCAGAATGCTGTATTTCCTTCTTTAGAATGTGCTTAATAAAGCATTAGGCATGTCAAACAAACTTTTGTAAACAAAAGATAAATTACTTATGTTCTGCTCTGATTATACCCAGATACATATTCTCATAAAATAAACATTCTCTTGTCATTTTCCATGGCCCACATATCCACATATATGAGGTAAACCACTTAAAATCATCAATAATATATAAACCTCAGTACTCAACAGGAACCTTAGGAAAAATAAAACTAAGATGTCAATATCAAGAAGAAGTGACACTTTGTTCCACTGCAAAGTGAAACCAAACAATTTATTTGTGCTAAATGAATGGAAAGAATGTATTCAGAATACATTTCTTTATACATTGTACCGGCTTAGGCTGCTAAATAAGCATTATTCATTAGTGCCACATTGTGCTGCTTTCTTGTACTCTGTTTCTGTTTCTACCAAGCAAAACAACAGTTTTGGCTGTTAACACCAATATATTCCCATATGTTCATCTTATACCTTATTTTCTAATAGACTTTTGAACATTTAGAATACTTGTTCACCTTTGTTTCAGGGGAATCGCAATTAATATATTTTAAACAGGAAAAAAAATCAGCTGTTCTCTACAATCACATTGCCTTCTGCAGCAAAATATCAGAGAGCACACTTCAATCAGCTATCAGTAACCTGTGGGCAGGACCACACTTGGTTAATTGTGATGGATCACACAGCATGGACAGCTTACAGGTTAATGTAAATGACAAGTGAAATACTCAAATCTTAAGGTCCAACGAACTGTACATTCCATTAACTGCAGCAAGTCAGTTCCCTCACTGTACCATACATTGGAGGTTTTTAGACAGGAGAAGCAAGGATGTGTCTGTCGTGTGTGCTGAATTAAGCTTATTTACTAGGTGATACAATAGAGTATGTGTCTTGGGCACTGATTAGGGTGTCTGACTCACTTTTGCACTAGAAGCTGTTATTTCAAATAACTGAAACGTAGTGCTGCGTTACCATAAGCTTGGTAAACACTGTAATATTTCAGGATTTATAACATAGCCCATCATGCCTTTAATTTTATGCAAATTGTCATGAAAAAATATAAAAAGGTATCCCTTTAATTTTACAAACCTAAAAGCCAGGAAAATGAAGCTTTGGAGCCAAGCAAAACGACATAATGCCGTATTACCAAACAGAGTAGCAAATGTTCCAGCCAGAGAATGGACATACATATAGTTCAAGTAAACACTGATGGAAAATTTGTTAAGTTAGTGTTGTAGACCCACAACACTGGCTGCATTTTATACAAACGTTTACAACACAATTAACAGTGAAGCCTATATAACCTCAGTGCAAATATGTCAAATCCAAATATGCCAAGTAAGCCTTTGGCTTTTAGTAAACTGCTCCATGTTATGAGTCCAAATTCTGACATACAGACTGCTGAGCACATGCACTAAGGCTGAGAGGAGGGATGCACTGAATGCTGAAAAGTGGCTGACTGCGATGCTGCTGGTGGGACCGTAGGTTGCACAGGTGGTGGTGGTGGTGGCGGAGGTGGCTGCACTGGGGTCTGCGTGTTTGGAGAAGGAGGAGGAGTGGGACGTTTAAATTTGTCAGGGCTGTTGCTTCTTCGTGGTGAAGGCCTCTGCAGAACAAATATTGAAAGTATGTTTAAACACACTCCTGAACAACTCTAGGTGCAAGTCCTCTAATCAACGTATTGACCTTGTCCAAGGGGGGAGGAAAAAAAGAAAAAACACAGTAAAAATCAAAGCAAACAATTATGTGGGAACAATCCATTTTAAATGATACAAAGATGACAATACTTTCTTTAAAATAAATTATGCTACTCTGAAATGGAGCAGCAAAGGCAAGTGGAAGATACTTTACCTATGACAGCCAGCAACCTAAAGAAAAAAAATGAGAGGAAGTCTGTACAGACAGCACCAGTTGTACTTGCCCGAGCAGCAGATGCCAATCAGCATTTAACTTTACACTGCTTGTGTGTAAAGTCAAAGGACAGAGCACCCAGAAATGGAGGTGGAAACATTTCAACTCCTGGAGAGCTTGCCCAGAATCTCTAGCATTCAGGCTGAAGCAAGACCAAAGAATCATTGAGATTGTTCTTTAGAGAGCAAGTATCACATGAAAAAGATTACAATGTTTTTAGCAGCAGCAGTGAAGCAGTAGTAGAGCGCTCTCTTCACAGGAACTACGGATTCCTTTTATAATCTGCATGCTAAAACTCATGAAGATTTAATATGCACTGTTTTTATCTTCACAAAGCAGTGAGAGAAAAAAACCTCTTTAAATGCAACAACATAAAAAAGATGAATTACACTGCAGAACACTAACTTCTGCCGTTTTAAAGTGAAAAAAGACGCATGAAGATCTGATCCAGACATTAAGAACTTAATGGTATAACAAATTATGCACCCCAAATTAATAACCAACCAAAGACACCCAGATCTGAAGAAATGCAGCTTCAGTGCTACACCAAATGAACTACATGCAAAATCTATTTATTCTGTAATGGATATTAAAAATGAAGAGTCAAAAAGCAAATGGCAGTTTGGTCACACTACATATTGCATCTATTTTTTTCAACATAACTATATATAATAGTTTTTTTTAATGCTTTCCAGGAAAAGCAATGGGATCTCCAACAACCTGTTGACTGATGTTTCTGAAACACTACTTAAAAAACATTTACTGCACTAATGGACCTCTAAAAGTCAGCTTTGGTACAGAGACAAAGACAAGAGACACTTATCAGTATCTTTTCTGAAATAGCTCTTATTTTGCCCTGGAGGTCATCCTTCTCACAGTGAGTTCATGTGACCTCAATTAGTTTACAGTTTCAGAATTATTAATTTTTCAAGAGACCAAACCCCCCAAATTTCATTAAAAACTCATTTATAAAATCCGTCTCTAGGTTTTCCAGAAGCTCAAAGATTCTCCTGTGACCAACCCACATGACGTACGACAGGCGGCTGGACCAGAGCCCTGGCCCAGCTCTGCCGAGCTCCAGCGCACGGCCCCTCCTGCCAGCCTGCCCCTATCTGCTGCGGAAAGAATTAACAGTTTACCTTAGTCAGTTCCCCTGGGCAATTGAGGAGTACCCACACTTCAACACTCTGCTCAGAATGCTACTGGAAAAGGTTTTACATCTGAGAATGACAATCGAAAGTGGAAACCTTGCAAAAAATGTACATATTACCATACCTGTTGAGAAATATCAAAATCGGCTTGATACACCAACTATAAGCTATTTTCTCAAGTGATTAATATTTAAACTTTGTTAGCTCATTAAACTCCACGAATACTTAGAATAAACTTGATTAAGTAGAAATGCATCCAACAGAGGCAAAAAGGAAATAAATCCAGTTGAAAATGTTGAAAAAAAAAGTCCTAACAAATGCTTGATATATTAACTTTCTTCTTTGCCAATGAAATAGAAAATAAGCTTTAACTGCCTGTTACAGTGACATGGTGGTAGCATTGTGTGTCATCCTGAAGAAAACCTGAGCTTGGAGCAACCTCAGATGACTCATCCGTCAGATGGTGGAGACTAGGAGAAAAATGAAAGCAATGTTTTTACTTCCTGGGACAGGCTCAACAGTTAGAACATCACTTCTCACACCCTGCCTGCTGATCCATAAGATGATACCTATTACTGTCCTTAAGATGATAATACATCCTACTTTTTTGCAGAAAAAGGGTTCTTCAAAAAGAATCAGTTTCTGAGGGGTGAAGAGAAAAATCAGGGTTGAAGGAAGCAGCAATAGATATCTTGGAGTAAGGAGACAAAAGCAAATATTTACAAAAATATTTTGTAAGAAAGTTTAAGGAAAAGAAGTCATAACTTTTTAAAAAACAAACAGACGGTGGCAACACATATTTACTGCTTTAAATACTTACTGTAATACCATGGGATGGTCCCATATGTTGCACATGAAGGCCTGGGGAATTGTAGTAAGACATTCCAGCTCTAGTCAGTGAAGTTGGTGGTGTGAAACCAACTGTGTGACTTGCATATGACAGACCTAAAAATTGTTAAAACAAGATAATATCAACATTCTTATTTGACTGTGTCACCCATTACACAATGCCAAATATGACTTTCCACTTTATAGAAACAGGGTAAGGCTCACTGGACAGTTTGATTTCAGTCCACAGATACGTCTGTCCAGCCTTCCCTCTATCCTCAGGGAAAAGGGCTGTCTGAAAAAGCAGACGAGCCCAGAGCAGCAGTCTTGCACGAGGCAACTAAAACTTTCTGTATGACAGGAACTGGCTGAAAGGGGATTATTCCAGGCATATCAGATCTGCACCCAGACCAACGGCTGCCCTGGCTGCCTCCTGTTTTGCCCAGGCCTGTATAGGCAGGGACCCACGGGTCCTGGGGGCCGTGAGGTCCAAGTCGTCTGTGGAAAGCTTCCACAGCTGGACTATGATAGCACAAATAGAACAGTTAGCTCTGAAAATTATAGCTTGCTTTATGCACATTAAAAGTCTCATATTCAAATATGCAAATGTCTAGTTTTTTCAGTTTAGATAAATTCCCTGTGTTTCAAAAGGCACTTGGCTTCCAACTAAAGATTTCCTTTCTATAAATACTAGTTCATAAAAACGCAGAATACCTGTTACAGCTAATGACGGTAGCAGAAACAGACACTGCAAAGTGCTTCTCGTGTTCAGACTTAAGGTGCGCTGATCGTTTTGCTTATTTCTCAAAAGGGCGGGTTTTCCAAAACCTTTAGCTCATTATTGTTTTCTTACAAATACATTAGTTGGGTAGGAGACAAAAGTATTTTCTCAGCTGCGTGGTACCAGAAACCAATAACTGTATCGGAGATGCATGACCAAACCCAAAATCTACATGCCCATTAAACTTCCCTAACAATGTGTTAGATTCAACAGCTGTCACACTTCAGCACTACATCAACCCAACACAGTGCCACTGCACTTACAGTGCATTACAACACACCCGGGTTTGTCTCTAACTATCTGTGTTTGATAAATTATCATCTCGGGGGAAAAAAAAGAAAAACACGCAAGCCTTAGATAGAAGCCATGCAAGAAAATATATTATACTTCTCTTGTTTCTTTAAACTAAAAGCCTAATGCCACTCTAACCAATGTATGTCTGCTGAAAATTACTAGCAACTCCAGTGGAATCGCTGTCATTTTAGAACAGTGAAGGAATGCAAAAGTTGAACAAAAATAATCTGTTTTCTGACTGCGAAATCTAGCTATTTGTAAAACACACTTGCAAGCATTAGGTCAGAAATACAAGATAACGTTCAAGTCAAAACACAGACTGCAGTGGTAATTTTCAAGACGGAGACAAAAGCCCAGAAAAAAGGGTAAAGTAAGCTTTAAGTCACCTTGTATCATTCCCCCTAACTGCCTCGTTTAAAAACAGCTCCCACAGTTTTACCAATGCAAGTCTAACTTTACACAACATTCAAAGTGGTGAAATGAGCGCAGAGCACATACATCCAAGGTAGTTCACCTACAATTCTGTAGCCCAAAATCCGTACCTAGTCTTTCTGCAGAAACAAACCATGAGGCTAGAGAAAAGACTCATTGGTAATGACAGGAACGTTCCCCCCGCTGCCTGATCTACACAGTTTCATGCACCATGCAACAAACCTCAACACTATCTCAGCTTGAGGCAGAGCTCCCAGAAGAGCAGTCTAAAGCTAGCAAGCACAACAGGCTGCAGGCCTCAGGGTGAGTCTCTGACACATTAACTGGCCTTGGCTACCCATGTGAGATTATACCACTTCTAAGAGGTTTCAAATTGGGTGTGCACAGATTCTTGATTGGTACATCATATACCAAAGGAAACCTGTCAAAACATACAGTTACTTGATACAAAATATAATGATTGCATTATTTGTGCTGGATACTTCTGGAATTATCTTACTGTCCTACTTTAGACATAAAGCACTCAAAAACTACTTGTTTTCATCAACTACTGCATTTATACACCAGAGATTTATACATACCAGACAGTAGTATGAAATTCCCTTCTGATCTCATTAGCTCTCTAAAAAGCTGCTGCTTTTATTTTCCTGAAGTCTGAAACTGTCAGTTGCAGATACTAATTTATATGATGCAGAAGACAGCAATACAGCTGCCTGAGCACAGCTGCTAGCCTGGAACATCTACTGGGAAGATCTACCACCAAAACTGGGAAGTCTATTAGAAATGAGCAATTTGGCTTTGTTATTTCTACTTCAGTTTTCAATTGCAATTCAGCATTCCCTACCTATACGATCTAATTTCACTGGATGCAGGCCTCTCCCTTCCTATT